GTATCCAAAGTCGCATGTAAATAGAACAAACAAATTGCGGAAGCAGTTTTCCCTCAAAATGAACCTTCAGGAGAGCGTCCCACTCTCCTTTCAGATCTCTTTCATTAATATGAATAACTCTAACACTATCCAAGGATTTACAACATAGACTCCCTCTACACTCTACTTGAACAGTGATTCACACAACTACTTATCTGGCCATAACTCCCTTGTGCATTTTCTAGTTTGAATCCCTCAAACTATACAGAATGAACCTCTGAACACTCTGTTGCAAACTCACTTCGAAATATATTGACTCTCTCACTCATAAAATCAAAATACATCAAAGAATTAAAATCCAGCCAAAAAAATCAGTCTATACTTGTGTCTGGTCCTGCTTTTATCCTTCAACTTCATTTGGTAATTCACTCCTTTTCTTTGCGCCAAAGTTTAAACACTCATAAGGAAGGTCTCAAGTTATTTGAAGCCGCTATCTTGCTCTTGCGATTAAGGAAGGTGAATTCGAGATTATTTCAATGGACCTGCCAAACAATACACTTAATTATTATATAATAAATAAAAAATACTTCCATTTAAAACTAATGCAAACTTCCCTTAAATATTCTCGCGTGTTTCTAAATCCTGTGAACACCGGAAGGTTAATCGATTTACTGCCAATCTTCAGAACTTACAATCTCCCCCTTTGGCAGATAAATCGGAAACCATTTTTCATGAACCTGCAAAAGACTAATACATATTCTGCAATATACACACCTTCCTAAGAATACTAATCTCACACGTGTTGTTCTTAGGAACAACTCAAATACCTGAATAATAGCACATTAGTTCACATAATATCCCACAAAAAGTTCATCATACGTAAGATAATAAGGCATAAAGAAAAGGAGTTCAAACAACCACACGAAACAGAGTTTTTAACAAAACAAAAATGAATATCCTACTGAGAGATGGCTACGCAGACTCTTCCTCTTCAGATTCGTTCCTTGAACCTTCTTCAGTTTCCTCCTCAGTCTCTTCTTCGTCATCTTCCTCTTCCTCATCCTCAGCATCAGCACCAGCTACTTCCTCTTCTTCTTCGCCCGAACCTTCATCTTCTTCCACAACATTTTCTTTTC